TTGAAGCCCTTCTCCGGTATATGGTGACGTCTCTATTTGAGTGAAATATTCTTGAAGGGACGTAAAACAACATACAATTGATCAATCAATGTCAAAGACTTAAGATCCCAATCTGAATGAGATGACCATGATAAGTCATCCACAATATCGCTTACCAGAACAACGAAACTTTGTTGACCTACAAAAAATGGAAGATAGCTGCGACCCACTGGTTTTGCTTGCAGTCCGGTAAAATATATGTCTGGTTTGATTTTTGTACACATTTAATTGAAGGTTAAATTTTAGCTTGGTGTACCCTGTAACCAAAGTTGACTATTAGGATTCCATTGAATTTTGTTTTACAAATTAATATTTACATATTCAGTGTATCATTTATTTATTTATTTAATTTCTGTTCCTTTTTTTTTTTTTTAACTTTTTTTTTTTTAAAAAAAGAGTAATTTTATATAACCATTTCTCGACAGACTCTCTGACTTTATAGACAACTGTTTCCTAAATAAAAATGGAACTCAGGTGTTTTCATATCTTGTGGTTTGTCACCTACAAACTTACTTTATAAAAAAAAATCATTCATATTCTGCAAATAGGTACTCTGAGCTGGATATTTAATAGATGCTTAAGCTCCTCTTCCAACAATCTTATGGGATTCCCAGGGGTACTTCTTTTTCCCTTTATTAGCAGATCCCTTTTTGTATTCTTATGAAGCACAATATTTTTTTTAAAATTCCATATGAAAAGAAGTCTTTCGCTGTGGCCGTCAATTCGACATTTCGATATTTATAAGGGCGATGTTTTATCACTTAAATAAGTTTGGTCGTAACGCACAATTTGATTAGCTGGAAAAGTTATTTTATATTGTACAATCTGTGTTGTCTTCGCCACATTATATTTTGCGACAAAACGATCGATCTACTCAACGTTAAATTTAAACTTGATACAATTTGAAGACATTTTTTAAGAGAAAATGTTTTATTTTTTAACAATTATTGATAGAAATTTAAAATATAAGGAATGGATTTAATAACTGCCCAGGGCATACTTGTATACCTTAGACTGGAGCAATTAATACTTTTCTGATAACTGGTTTATAAAGGGTAAACTGCCCCAACCCAGGTTTGTACACTGTATAACTTGGGTAGCTATTAAAATCCATCTATATTCAATTTCATTCATACTACAGTCATTCGACATACGATTCATTCGATATTATATAAATATTGCATGTAGTTGACTGTTCTTACGAATCAGATTCAACTAATTTACATGAAAATATAATATATTCAATTAAAGTTTTCCAAAAAAAAAGACATCATAGATTTATTTCATATTTGGACGTTTTACTATAGAAAGACATTGATTGCAAACTGACAACGAACTTCCCCTAATTTACAATTTTCACTTCATATGGTGTTTGTCTCCTGGTTGATTCGATACACAAGAGCATGTTCTACGTACGACAAATTTCTAGATTATAGAAAAATATCTTTTTTCAAAATTATAATTATTAATTTTAAACATTATAATTTAAAAATTTCCCAGATAGGTTAAGGTACAATTTAATGGTTTAAACTACTACCGTATTTTTTCCTAGGATGAAAGAAATATAATATCGGAATCAAAGTACTGAGAGTAAGAAATCGGAAAGACATCCTCTTTTATTTATTGGTGTGATATCCATAATGTGATACATGCAGAAAAAGAGCTATATTTAATCAGTATACTATTAGAACTATTATTATTGAATCTAGCATCAATTTTTCAAATTGATGTTGTTCAAAGATCTTGCTTTAAGATTTCATTAAATGTTCATTTTAAGACAAAAGTATGTAAGGCAAAGCGTTTTCAGATTTCATTTACAGCTTTCTCAGAACAGTGGATCGATTGTTTCCATTTGAAGAACTGCTATTAGCATTATTTTATTATATTTATTGTAGCATTTTCTTTCATTTTATAACACTATTTGAGTGTATCTATCATTGAATAAAATGCAGTTCATCATATGACCAAGAGTCCTATTTCACGGTGACGTCAATGATTGACGTGTCTAACGTATTCAACTTACATGTATACCGTAGATTTTAAAAAATATTTATCATTCATACGTTTTTTATACGTCGGTCACAAATGTCAATATAAGTAATAAGGTATAGTTTTAGCTATTTTTCGGAACATAGATACGGTTTGGTATGTGCTCTAATCTTCCATAAAGCCCTCATTAAAGCTTTATTAGATTTGATAACGTGTCCAACCCGTATCTCTATCCGATAGGTGTTCAAAAATGATACCTTATTTCTTAAGCAAAGATTCTGAGAGAAAAAGGGTTAACATCTGTTATAATTTAGATATTTATATCCCTAAAGATGTTTTGAACGATATCTTATTTCTTAAGTAAACATTTTTCCAAGAAATAAACAATGTTATCATCTGGTTTATTTTGAAGAATTGGGGAACATACATACGCATATTTCTAAGTAACTGTTATGCTTCACTGTTGTTCTCCATTCATGTGTTTTAGTATTTTATTGCTAACATATCGTCAGAACAATATACAGGAGATAAACGAACCTCCTCGGCTCTATTATTTTCCTATCTTGACAGCTCTGGGACTTATTAGTCATCAAATTCACAGATGTTAACGTCGGGCTCTTGTATAATTGGAAAAATGTCACACGAAAAGAACACATCGCGCAACTCGTTTAGCGTTAAAACATTACTGAGGAGATGGGGAAGGTCGCCGTGAAAGCTGAAACACTCTCTATTGCTAAGTTAATAAGCATCGGGTCGATGTCCATAAATGGGATTCGGCATGATAAACCAATGGTAATATAATATTTGTTGTTGACAAGATAATGGGTCCTTACTCTTCAACCTATGAGCATCTAAAATATGTGCAATTGTGCTTTCAGCGAGTTGTGATGTAGTTAAATTGCAGAAAGTCTAATAATTCAAGAGTATAATAGGTACACATAAGATGGACACCAATGATTAATATTTTTTTCATTTTCCTGTGTATTTCTTATAATTTAATCATCAAAGGTGATAGATCGAGAAAGTTACGACCCCAGTCCCGAAAATTACACGATTCTTGGTAAGATTATTCCGTTAATCCGTAATGATTCACTCTGATATCATAACACAATACGATAGTGTTTAACGACCGCAGATAGAAGTATAACATTTTAGGGATAACGGAGCTTTAACTGTAGATGCGAGAGATACATTTCATTTTCGAAGAGAGGCACACTGGCATTTTCAGTAGATTCATTGACCAGTAATGCAATTTCCAATGTTCAGAGAACCTATTTGTCTTTTCTTTTTGATTTTTGAAGACATAATATTGTTTGGACATAATTTTTCATCATTTGATTTAAGAAAATAATAAATGTGTACAAATTAAGGAATTAATCATTCGATTTTCCGCTGATTACTATAATTTTGATTACTGCAGTATTTCAAAATTTCCTTTCCACTTGCATTACAAATTTCCTCATATTTCTAACGATAATGTAAGCAAGTTGTCTTGAAGAATACTTCGACATAAATAAAGTGGAATAAACGGATTTTAAGAAAATGGTCACAAATCAAGCAATTTTCTATCAGAAAGGGGTGAGGAAACTTAGAGGGAAATAAACTTTTAACAAGTGTTTATTGTGTTGCAAAAACCTCTCATTTCAAATTTGATAATAATTGGAGTCATTCATTATTGATAAAGAAATTATACACATGTATAAGATAAAAAATCGTTACTGTTCTAATAGTACCGATTTTATAGCATCTATATCATCATCTCTTACTTCAAATGATAAAATACGGTTTGTATATGTGAAAGAAAAGCAGTTTTGTTTTTTAACCATGCTTATTGAAGCTCAAATGCCCAGAAAACTATACTACAGTGTATATTTATGTTTCCTAATTTTGTTAAAATGCTTCTTTTGGAACGAAGTTTTTTTTGAGAAGAAGGCTATTATTATTTCTGTTTTATTATTATTAGAGCTTTTCAACTAATGTCAAAAAAAGTATTGCTTTCATTTTATATTATGTGCTTTTCGGTTCATGATTTCTTTGCCGTATAAGATTTCTAGGTAGGAAGAACAATTTTTTCCTTTTTTTGAGCGTACAAATACACAACTTTTAGTTCGCAAACTAAAATAACCGTAAATCCAAATACATGATGGTATTTTCACAAGATTTGAAATTAAGTTGCAACGTCAGCAAAAGAAATATTCATCATTGATTAATACCCCTGTAACATCACCTTATTTGTCTGTAGCCTGCCTCTGTTTGGATATTGATCGTATGTTCTTTCTTATTAAATCAACAAGGAGATATAAACACCATATTGCAAGTGATAATTGTATATATACATAGCTACGTAAGTAAGGGAAGTTGAAGATGAAAAAATTGATGTCAACACATTAATCATGAAGAGTAGTTGTTGGTTTGGTATCAGTGTCCATAATTAGTAAATTGTCCAGGTCCAGGGATATACGGAATGAATGCATTTTTGTTAATTGAATAAAACATCGTCGATATATCTAAATGTCGATTTAAAGGTCACAGCAAGATACTACTTTTCATGTAGTAGTTTTTAAGTAAATTCTGCTGAAACGTGTTGGATTATAAAGAAGCGCAATTATTACCCATTATAATTCCAGAAAAAATGTTGGAAAACCTGGTTTTTCAAAGACTACATAGATATTGTCAAACAGAAATACATATATATGTACCCTTTTATCTCATTTTTGATTTAAACTGTCTTGCATCGCTGCTTGTTCAAGACTCCCTCACATCGAGGGAAATTTTTAGGAAATGTTAGAAAATGGTGTTACATAAAATCTTCTCAACCATATAAAACAAGGGAAAGTTAATATTTCCTTTATCGTGAATAAATCATTTCGTGAGTTTTGCCTTTGAACAAGAATAAATTAGTTCTTTATAGGCTCTAATTTACAAATTCATGTCATTTGATATAAGATAATTTTTTTTGATTCAAATTTCAGACAGCCTGAGCGACAAGTAATGACAAGGGAAGCATCGATACTTATACCTTTTCTTTTAGGTAAGTTAGGTAAGATTTAAACAATACTTACAATTTTAAAACTCACTGTACTTGTATACATGTACAAGCATGAAATATATGGAGATAACGAACAGTATTCAAGCTCAAAAGTCCATTAAACAATACAGAAGCAGAGCAAACACGGACCTCCAAAACATCAGAGGTGGGATCAGGTGCCATGGAGGAGTGAGCATCCCCTGCCGACCGGTCACACCCGCCGTGTGCTCCCTGTCATGATCGGGAAATAACTGAAAAGCCGTCGACAATTCAGTGTGTAAATATGGCATAACAGTTAGTTTGAAAAACGTCAGTCAGCATTTGACTCAATGATAAATTGCATTTGCTGACAAGGTCATTGTATTTACCATAGAACTTACGAAATGATGACTTTAAACGAGACTGCTGATATTCTTGTTTCATCAACTTGTTTGTCAATAATTTACCTCGTTTTAGAAATTGTACACACGCAGAGCCTGCTCTTGCGTATCGAATCAACTGAGAGATGTAAACCCTGTGTGCAGGTGATGAAGGTATATTGCTGCATTAGTAAGGGAAGTTGACGATTGAAAAGTTAAAGTCATCACCTTTATCATAAAGCTTGGTTGTTAGATTACCATTAACGTCTTTTTCAAGTAAAATATCCAAATATGAAACAGATGTGTCAGACTCTCTGGTATCTTTTATCTCAAGCTCACCGGGATATATCGTATCGACATAAGAATGGAAATAACCATTGTTAATTGACAATACGTCGTCGATATATCTAATGATGTGAAGGCCACAGGAAGTGTTTTCTTCTTTCACGTATAAGATTTTGGACAAATTCTGCTTCACATGAACACAAAGAAGGTCTGCTAATAACGGGGCGCAATTGGTATCCATGGGAATTCCAATAGATTGTTGGAAGACCTGGTCTCCAAAAACCACAGAGATATTGTCAATCAGAAACTCAGGCATATTTTTGATGTCAACTTCAGAGAACGTGTACAATCAGAATGTTTTTTAACAAAATAATTTTGCAAATGACCAGTGACAAGGTAAGTAAATTTACGAGTTCCATTCTTATGGAAAAAACAGCTGTCAATGATATCAAAAAGCCTGGACTTTAATTTATCGTGGGGAATGGTTGTGTATAAAGTTGAAAAGTCTTAAGTTTTTAAGCTGTTGATTTTGGTAAATTCTTGTGATTTCAAATTTTCCAAAAGTTCCTTGGAATTATTAAGTGTCCACATCTGATTTACACCACTTCTCGAATATATTGTTGCACAGTACTCTTGAAGTTTCTACTTCACTACTGTTAATATCTTAGTGAGGAGTAAATAAAAAGGCTTGGTTGAACATTTACTGGAACCCGCTATGTATCTTTGTAAGGATTTTTATGAAGCTTCGGAATCCAATATAGATTTGTTTGTTTGTTTGTTTATTGTTTAAAGTCCCTCTCGAGAATTTTTCACTCATATGGAGACGCCACCACTTGCCGGTGGAGAGCTACAAATTTTGACCTATACTCGGCACTTAGGGCCATTGAGCAGTGAGGGATCTTTTTCGTGCCAGCACCTACTGCGACACGGGACCTCGGTTTATATTGTAATTCAAATTCATTTTGGTTGTTTGGAATATTAAAAATATTCAATATTATATTAAATATTATAATGTGCCGGAACAAAATTATCAAATATATCCCTTAATCATGGAATAAAAGGAGGTAAATGCTTGAGGACAAGTATAACAGTCAGTGTGCATTTTATGTATAAATTCAAATTGAAGCTTTAAAAGACACTTCCACCATGACGAATCTTCCGAATTTCGCATTGTACGCTTCAACTGATCTGCTTACGTTATAGGGTTTTTAATGCTAGATTAAAGATTGAGAAATGAGTTTTACCGAAGACGACTCAGTGCAGATGGTAAATTGGAATTTACTACCTATACTTAATTTTGAAAAATGAGATGGATATTGCAGATATCTTATATTACTTCCTAGTATATTGGGAAGATGGAATTTGTGGATATCATATTACTATATATTGTGGAGATGGAATCGTATTTTAATTCTACTCACCCGTCCACGACCAGAAAACGTATGCGATAGTTACGTTCAAGTCGTCAGTCCGTCCATCTAGCTGTTGTCTGCCTGTGAACAAATTTCCAAAATGCTCTGTTCCTTAAGTTTTTGTATGATTTCAGTGATATTTGGCAGAGAGATGGACTGCATCAAAATATAAGATTTTGTCTCTGTCTATCGGTTTCTAATGAAGAGTGTTATTATCATTATAATATTAAAATGTGTAAATTACATTCTCTCTTATTGCTACCCTCGTACAGTTTTTGTCAATTTCAAATAAGTTCGTAAAGAAGTAGACCAGAGGTGCTTGAGGACAGGATCTCCCATCCCCTCCATCCTCCGACATAGACCCCGGGCCTTCAAGACTTTTTCTCATAACATAAATCAACCTTTTTATTTGAATATTTGTAATCTAATAGATACTAAAAATCCGAAAGGTTTCTTTAAACAAAATTTTATATTTAAAAAAAATTAGATTCCCCTCTTTACATATAGAGTGGAGTAGGATTATTTATATATAAAAGTTGTTGATTTTTTTAATTGATGGTATGGATGATATCAGAAGATGATGTATGGACAAATTCGAAAAGCCCCAGGGGTCTTTATGGGGTGGGTGGGACCTATACTCAAGCATCTGTGAAGTAGGCTAGAGCAAGGTACTTTTAAGTCTCTTTGTTCTTTTTTTTTATTTTGATGAATGTTTTTCCATGGTTACCAAAAATACATTGTAGATCTGGAATTTTTTACGTCAATTTATTTTTACAAATTTGGGTCAAGCTGCTATATTTCAAAACTTTTTGAATTCTTGTCAGAACTGAAAATAGATTTTAAAAAATAATAACCATTCAAATATAATGTACATGCAAGGATAATATCATAAAACAAATTTAAAAGAATTAGCTAACGGTAATAAAAAATTAAAAATAATTCCGATTCATTTGAGCTTAAAAGAATATATAATATCCAAGTTTCTTAAAAGGAAATGATAGATTGAAACATAAAAAATTAAAGTGATATATTCAAGCCTAACTTAAACTTGTTTTGCTTTGATAAATAAAAATCGACACATTTACCAGGAATTGCACGTAATACTTCAATCAAAACGGTTATAAATGTAAAACAAAAAATACCCATATAAACAATATATCTTTTCTTGTTGATTTACTCATAAGAAAAAATTCTTTACAGATGCATACGCAAAAAGGCTGAATATTAATCGATAGTAGAAATTTCCAGATTTACAGCAATGTGTGAAAATCTTTCAAAACGTAACACCTCCAACAGTTTTGATTTGATAATTAAAAATTGGTACAAGCTTGTAAAGTGGAGAGCTATCCAATTCTGTAGTTCCAAGACTCATAATTCTGTTTGATCGGTTTTAAATTCTGATAAATGATGCTTCTATGGTTAACAAAATAGAATAATCTGTGAAAGTCTTTCAAATTGCATTTCCTCGTGCAGTTTTAATTTGGTATGAAAAATCTTCATATGGATTTATAAAGAATAAACGATGCACAATTCTGTAAATATAAAACACACACAAAAAAGAAAGTCCAAGTGCAAATTTTCTTTCTTTCATTGTAAGTAGTATAGTAACAATCTCTATAACATGTTCTATGCATTTGCTAATCATTTTTATGCTTATTCCATTGTGTTACAGTATTCGCTATGTAATCTGACGTGTCGTATTAGAAATTAAAGAAATATTGTTTTAAAATGCATTCAAATAAAATTATTAAACAAATATAAACAAAATATCCTGTATTTGTAACATTTCCATTGTTAAGTGTTTTTTACTTTAAATAAAACTAAGTGATCGGACAAATTCTGACTTTTGGGGTTTTTTTTCTTTTCATGTAACATCTACATGTTCAAGAACTCGTCACTCTCTAGATGTTCTTCATCCTCCGTCTATTCTCACGGTATTTTGTAATGATAATTTCTCAGTCTTGTTCGATAGTCCTTTGTGTCCCATTTTCTGCCAGTTTTACTACGTCAGTCTGACTGGTTTTATTGTTGATTGGATAAGGTTACTCGGATACCATTCTTACTTATCAGTGTTTCTCCCTCCCAACATGTGGTAGTAGTTTCTAAATAACACAAGTTGACTAGCTGTCTATGAATAATTTCTTTATGTATAACGCTGATCTGAAATACCATTATGCGTGGGTTAATAAGGTTAGTTTTCACATGTATGTAATCTTTCATCCAACCTGGAGTATGTACAGTGTATCTCTCGTCCTGAATCGCTGTTTTCAACCAACGAAACTGGTTTTTCAATATTTTCATGGCCCCATAATTGAAGCTTAAGATTTGAGGGCATATAGTTTTTGGTCTGTCCGCCTGACTGTTTGTCTGTTAAGTTGTTTGTCAGCAAAAACTTTAACCTTGCCCATAACTTTTGAATGGTTGGTGCTAGGGCTTTTATATTCCACATGTGTATTCCTTTTGACAAGACCTTTTTGGGTACATGTATTAACAGTTTTGAACTCTTGACCTTGGAGTTAGACCTTAATTTTAAAAACTCTAATTTTGGCCTTGCCATATGGGGGCATCAGTTTTTCCACAAACACATCTTGTTCATTATCAAATGGCAAATGTCATCTAAATATCTTCAGTAATGATACCCCCCCCCTTTTCTCCCTTTCCAGGCTGCAAATTTACAATGAATTCATGTTTTTTTTCTATATTTCCCATAACCACAATATACAATCTTTCATTCGGTTGCAGTGAACTAATTGTTCCTTGCTATTAATTAAGACCTTATTTAACCTTATGCCAAAATTTCATATCATTGAAGGTACCATACATGGTGCTTACCAATTTACCTGAATTTTGGAAAGCAGTCAGCCATTTGTTAGAAGGCATATTTGAAATACTCATACGACATGTGCATATCCAAGTAATCATTTTGTCTTGGTTAAGCTTTTTACTAATCACTTTGTTTCTTACAAAGAAACATTCCTTTTCAATCTTGTTGCTAGAACCAACGTCCAATCATGTCCAGAAACCTTTTCTCATGAAAAGGTGTCGCTGTCCCTCTACCAAGGATCAGCCTAAGTTTGGGCTGATTTTGGTGGACGTCTACTGAGACATATATGCTATCGTCACACACATGGAATGCTTTCATATCCCTCTCAGTCTCCAACGGTTTTCTTCAACATTTACACTTAAAATGGCTCGGTTTTTATTGAACCGTTCCACCACATCACTGGAATAAATATATAGTGGAGTGCTTGTCTTGAATCTGGATACACTTGCATACCTTGTGAAGAGAAGCCTCTCATATTGCCGACACAGGCCAGAGTGAATAGTTTTTAAAAGCTAGGACCTATTTATTTCCTCATTCGTTGTAACTTAGCCATTGCCCTATCCTTCATATTGGGCTTTGTAAAAACCTCAGATCATTTTGAGTTCATTTTATGAAATAATATGATATCTCATCATCATTTCCCTACTGGTATCTCTCTCCAGATTTGCCAAAATGTCCGGGTCTAACCTCTTAATTCGGTAATCCATTTGTAAGGACTGCATGGGTGCTCTCTAAGTTTTAGTTTCAGGAGCTTTTTCTGTGAGAACATAAATGTGTGTCACATTTTGTTATATACATGAAACATTTCACTCTGTAGCTTTCGCCAATAGAAAATCTGTTTGATAATATTTAGAGCTTAATTACGCCTAAATAATCAACGTTTTTTCTTTAGTTTTTTCTTTAGTGCAAGGGAACAACAACCTGGTATTTGGCAAAATAACTCCTATTAGCTTTCCACATCCTAAACAGCAGATTATTGCTTATTATTACTTTTTTTTTCAATTGAGCCCTGAGAAACTTAACAGTTTCTTTCAGCTGATACATTTCTATTCTCAGAAAGTATCCATCTCTTAATTAAGTCTTCGTCATCTTGAGACATTCTTATCCCGATCATCAAAGTATCCAAACTGGCTTTTAGCATTCGACTTAACACAACTGCATTTCAGTGCTGTTGCAGCACAATTATATTTTTTTAAGTTAATAAGACCCCAAGCCAATAAAGTAATGGACGCTCTGGATCTTTGAATCTTAATGGCCACTTGAGTGAACTATGATCTATCCTCTTTAGGAACTTATTTCCACACAAGCTAGAAAGACTCTATGGACAGATATTTCGTCTAAGTCATACAACATCTCTTATTAGAATCGCCGAGAACTTTACTTGCTTACGAAACAACTTTTTCTGGTAATTCTCGAACTTATTTCCTGCAGCTGAGCTCTCTCTCTCTCTCTCTCTCGCTCTACAACTCTGTCTGATTTAACATTTCATGTAGAGCTTTGGTATGCTTCTGCTAGTTTCTTTTACCGTCTTTGGGCTGTGTACCTAATACGCCCTGTCTCTGCCCTTTTAATTATAAAGCTAGGAACAGTCCATTTTCGGTCTCTGTCCACTAACCAAAAAACTGTCTCAAAAAGGGACGAGAAAAAAAATCAATCTTTACCGTTGTAAGTAGAATCTTTACAGTGCGTCTTGGCTTTGATTTGGTCTAAAACTACTGGTTTGAGCCCATGTTTGTCTTAGCTTTCTATTTTATATAGGTCCACGTTTGCTCTAAGCATGGATACATCATTCTCTGACATATCCATTCACATCATTTGTTTCAATTGTGAGGCACTAATACTGATCCCTGGCTGTCTCTCGCACAACATAGAGCATTTTGTCTGGACGCAGGCTTCAGCACACGTAACAACTCATCTAAATCTCTACTGAGACATCCAGTCTCTTTATTGGTACAAGTTATATTGGTCTCTTACGATGAATATAATCTTGTAAAATTTATAGGACCAATTAATCCAAATCCCGAAGCAGGCATTTTTTTGGTTCCGTATCTGGGTCTATTGATTTGGATGGATCTCCTATAATTAATTAATTAACAATCTGATCATGAAAATACATACTAGTCAGTATACATGTACATGTATAAGCTATGATTATGGTCACTAATCGTTATTTGACTAAAAATGATTTACAGATGCATATATAGAAGACCTTCAATACCTATGAGATTTTTTGTCTGTTTGATTGAATGATTGTTTATTGTTAATTTCATACCCGAACTCTCTGAATAAAGCTCGAGTATATTGTTGTTATCATGGTTTGACCGTAGTCGGTTATACTATCTTCTTCAAACTGCTCTTACATCTTAAGCAGACACATTTACATCAATCGAATATGATTGTATGTATCTTGGAAATTTGCAATAGGGGTTTGTTTGTTGGTTTTTTTTTTTTTCATTTTTATGCTGAGCCAATGAGGAATCGAAAAATGACAATTTTCTACAAAATCCTCGTTGCCTAAATTTCTGTGACATTTAAGCGTTAGCCAAATCATCTTTAAGAATATGGTGGTGCCTTAAGGTGTGGAATTTTAATTTTCTCCCCGGGGTCCGCTGGGAGTCGAAAAAAGAAAACCTGATTCCAAGAACTCTCCGTATATGTTAAGCAGTGGCAAAGTCATCGTTCAGAATAAGATTGATGGTGCCCTGTAGATGTGGATTGAGGTTTCGGATTGTTCATTTTTACCCACATTTTCTGAAGAAAATTCAGGTATGTTGAACATCTGGTCTGTCTGTCCGTATGTCATACCATCCTCGTCCTCAACCTCATCTCAAGTTTTAAGCAGGGTCTTACTCATCTTTTGGAATATGATTGTTGGTATCCAGAAGATGTGCGATAAGGGTTCGGAGTTTTTATATTTTCATCCTGGGCCAAGAATGAGTAAAACTCGACGTTTTTTGTTTGTTTGCTTCTTTGTTTGTTTAATTGATTGTTGTTTTTTTTGGGGGGGGGGGTGTCTCTTTTGGGTTTTGAGTTTTGCAAAACCCTTATTCCCAAAAGTCCTCTTGCATTTTATGCAGTAGCCAAATCAATTTTTGGAGGATGATTGGTTATGTTAGATATGAATAAGGTTTTGAATTTTCAGTTTTACCCTGGGGCCAGTTGGGAGTTGAAATACGACGTTCTTCTACGAAAATCTGGTTACCAGAACTCCTCTTTTTATGGTAGCAAACTTCAGAATATGATTGGTGGTGTCCTGTTGATTGTTACGAGTTTCAGAATTTTTATTTTTAGTGGTATGGTCGATATGGGCGAAAAATCATTTTTTTTTTTACACAAAAACTTTTCTAAAACTCTTTTTTAAAACAGGATTAATGCTTCATTAAATTTAATTCAGACTATAGCAATGGATTTTTATGAAATACTAACATAAAAAGCATACTGGCATATGCTCACCAAAGCATTTTATGCTCAATTTGATACATGTTTATTCCTTAAAATTGGAATAACTTAGTTGTCTCATCATAAGTTACCCATATACAAAGGTTAACATTTTAGAGGCAAACATTAATGTGCAGGTATTACTGGCTTATCGGTATTATTAGTATTTAGTTTTAATTTGTCGCGCCTTTGTTAACAGAATGACTTTTCCTGTTTACTTGAAATTTACTACTAAATACGTTGACTCCCTTTACTCATTTTGGTAAATATTGTCTAAAGAATCTAACTCAAGCACAGTAAATGAATTTAAAGCATTTAATGATATTTATTAAAAATGCATACGCACACACTAAACGCATTAAACTAACACAGCCAAAAGTGAAGAGACCCATTTTGAAAAAAGGATAATCATACTACATGTACAAGAATTGTCCTGGTATATTTACCCAGATATATTGTTGGATACCTACGGGTGAAAATAATGGCCTAACAATTTGTATTAAAAAGATCAATCAAATTCGACTTAACGACAGATTGTATTAGCAAACAAGATCATTGATCGACCATAGAATTTACGAAATGTTGACTTTAAACGAGATTTCTTATATCCTTGTATCATCAACTTATTTGTCAATAACCTGGTTTATTTTAGAAGTTATTTGTACGTAAAATGTGCTCTTGCGTATCGAATTAACTGGGAGACTCCAAAATTGGATATATCAGGAATGAAATAAAACATTGATAAAACGTCTAGATATATCTAAAGGTCGAGTTGAAGGCCACAGCAAGAAACTTCTTTTTTTCATGTAGAAGTTTTTTTTTAAAAAAATTCTGCTTCATATGATCACAAAATATGTCTTCTAATAACAGCTAAAAGTGGAGACCCAACAGTAGAAAAACCTGTAAGCTGAATAAAACAAATCAAAATCTGAGCTTTCTATAAAAAAAACTTTACTTTTCTATTTGCTAGAAATGCAAAAGGATGAACGCAAAGAATTGCGTATTTTAAAACATTTTTGTTATTTATAATCCAAATAATGAATATATATGTATTTTAACAATTAAGAAAAGTATATTTTGATATCATTTTCTTATCAGAGGGAACATCTTTTTGGGATTGATAAAGTTATACAAGTTCATGGGGACGTAACTTCGTAGGTCATATCTTGTAACAGCACACATTAAGTTTATTTCAGTATTTATTTAGGTTGTAAATTGGTAGTTAGGGGAACCATGAACTTCCACGAAAATAACCCCCAAAGAATATATCATGATTCAACAGTACTGTAGATATCTAAATCTGTCTTAAATTTTGAATTAAATCCAGGTTACGAAATAAATATTTTCAGCTTTTGGATATTCTACGAAATAACTATTTTCAGCGTTTGGATATTCTGCATCAAATGCTTTGCCGATACAGTTTGATTCAACACCCGAAAACATCAGTGGAATAGCCGGGACAACAGCCATTTTACCCTGTATTGCCGACCTTACAGATGCAGACCCTAAAAGAGAGGTAACATTTAACGAGGTTGGATCCTGATATTTAAAGTCTTAAACTTTTTTTGTCAAGTATATTTTTAGCTTCTACACACATAGCTTAATTAAAAATCAAAACAAAAAATGAGGGTCAATATGCTTCTTTTGGAGCTATGATGCATTTAATATGACCCTTTTGCACTGAAATTTGTGACTTAATCAAAAATCACATCTTCGACGTTTTCCCTCCAATGTTTTTATCCAGATAAGTCATGGGACAAAATAAACTATTAGTCTATTTAAAAAAAAGACACATTAAAATTATGACTAAGAAAAAGTTTCAAATTACTTCGCATAATCAAAATAATGACCTTTCTGTACTTACAAAATGTGATTTTTCTGGCAATAAAAATTTAACAAGCAAGAAAATTATTTTAAAGTCTTAAACTTTTGCTGAATTTAAGCAGATTGATCAAACTTATCTTATATATTCAGAAAAGAAAAACAAAAGTGGGGGTCTGTGATGTAAATTTTTAGATATTACTAAAACAGTGTTAATTTTATGTTAAAATTGGCTCAAATTTTTCCTGGACTTTCAGAATATATTTACTATATTTGTCACAATATAATGAAAGAATTCATAAGAAATAATTTAATAGATATTTCAAAGCCAGCATAAAACATTTCACTGCAAAAAACAGTTCTGTGTGCAACCAGCATGGAAAAATAGGAATCTAAACTTAACAGTACTGTATGTATTTTAAAAGGGGAAAAATGATCATTTTCTTCTAAAAAAAAACCTTCCGCCACAAAATATAGTTCCTGTCTTAATCCTATTCGAATGGAATTTCATCGCAGTTTTTTCATTGGATATAGTTTAATTTGCATTGTAGAATCCAGATTTAATGTTAGAACTTTAAAATGATGCAGAATTTTAGAAATAAAGGTCCAGACCAAAATCTGCTCAAAAGCCCAGGATCGAACCTCCTTAAATAATGGGGAATATGCGAGTGATCTTTGGGTAGTCTGTTCAGCAAAGCGACATTTAGGGATGAGCTTTTTAAGTGATGAAGGAATCTGATATTCAGTATCTTTGAGTTTGTCCAAAGACAAGCAAATGTCTTCTGTTGAAAATCTATATTTTGATGTTAGGGAATTGATCAGTGGCAATCCCACTTGACAAAAAATTAAAAAAGAAAAACACTGTCGTCAGAGCTAAAGGGGCCATTCCACCAAATGAAGTTTGCCTTATATATCAAAATTAAAATCCTTTTCCGAAGACAAGAAAAAAAAACTTTCAAATCAATGCATTCTATTGAATGTTTTAAGAGAAAGGGTCTTGCTCCAAATTAAAGATAAAAAGGCAAATAAATTCTCTCTTTGATATTTTTTGAACTGTAAAGATTTTGTTACGTAAAGTTGTTTGAATTTACATTCTGAATACGTCAGTATAAATCGATGATTTATATTTAGGGGTATTGTGAATTTTTTATGATCAAAATCCTCAACTTAACCACAACTATTTCCCTTCCTTTAAATATTTAAGTTTTCATTTTATCGTTTCTGAAATAGTCAAAGAATTCAATTTTTTAAATCCTTTTTGTTAAACTTCATTTTAATTTTACTGAATATATATATATATATATATATATATATATATATATATATATATATATATATATATATATATATATATATATATATATGAAAAAAATCCAGATAACTTGGATGAGCCCTAGGGAAACCCTTATAGCCATTGGTGATAGGCGCATAATAGATGATACCCGGATGTCAATCGAACGCCCTCGTGTGCCAGATTGGAACCTTCATATACGTGAATTGCAGTTTTATGATAGAGGAACTTACACCTGTTCACTCAACACAAAACCAATGAGCACGAAAAAAATTTATTTGGAAGTATACGGTAAGAAGATCCACATATTGAATGTACAGGTACTGTAAAATACTGTCATAAATAAATTACAGTACACATTATTTTTGTACTATCACGGTAATGATAAAAAATTGCTTCATATAAGTTTGTTAAAATATGACCATTTGTTTACAATGTGTAAATTAAGACAGAGAAATTTTGATGGAATTAAAATACAAAAAAATCAAACATTATTAATACAAATAGTGTATTATATAATGTAAATAGAAATTATACAATATTTATTATATATATGATAAAATATGACATGCAAAAGGACAATTATAGAATACAAGTAGGGAATATACAAAACAAAAGATCAATTAAGAGTACAAATGGAAAATTATACATTGTAAAAAGAAAATGGACAATAAAAATAAAAAATTATAAAATTCAAACTGAAAAATTATACAATACAAATAAATTTAATTTGTATTTATTGAATACAAACGCACAGGATCGAATAAGTTAACTTTGACATGACGTAATTGACCCCTTGATTGACACATTGGAAGTAAAAGTTCATCATCTTCAATGAAAAGGGTGAAGATAAGGAACAGTGAACGATCTCACCCCCCCCCCACCCCCCAATACAAATACAAACAATAAAAAATTGTGAACATGGCATAAAACACAGACCCCTGGAAATTCCAGAACTGGGATCAGGTGTCTATAACTTTAAAAAATTTCTTGACCTTTAGTTGATGAGGTTGATCAGTAGAAGTTTAAATTGATAAAAATTGTGTGCAACTGAGTTAAATTTTATAGACAACAGACTGCAGCTGGAAATTAAATATCAAATTAAATTTAATATATCAATAAAAACAGCGCACATAATACTATTATATACAGCATGAAATTTTCGCCAGTAAGTTAACTTCATCGAATTTATGTAAAATAAAAAGTTCTAAACGTTTTTGTTTGTTTGTGTGTTGTTTAACGTCCCTCTCCTTTTCACTCATATGGAGACGCCGCCACTTGCCGGTGGAGAGCTGCAAATTTTGACCTATACTCGGCACTTAGGGCCATTAAGCAGTGAGGGATCTTTTTCATGCCAACACCTACTGCGACACGGGACCTCGGTTTATATGGTCTCATCCGAAGGACCGGTCTCCACGTCCCACAGTGGGATTCGATTGATTGATTGATTGTATTTTGTTTAACGTCCCTTTGGAGAATTTTTCACTCATATGGAGACGCCACCACTTGCCGGTGGAGAGCTGCAAATTTTGTCCTATACTCGACACTTACGGCCATTGAGCAGTGAGGGATCTTTTTCGTGCCAGCACCTACTGCGACACGGGACCTCGGTTTATACGGTCTCATCCGAAGGACCGGTCTCCACGTCCCCAGTGGGATTCGAACCCGCAACGTAAGGATCAACTCCTTACTTCGCGACTCTAGAACAGACGCTCTAACCACTGCGCCATGCGGGCCAGTGGGATTCGAACCCGAGACGTAAGGATCAACTCCTTACTCTGCGACTCTAGAACAGCTAGACGCTCTAACCGCTGCGCCACGCGGGCGACTGGTTCTAAACGTTAAGACTATGGCAAAATAATACGTGTTTGAAATGTCGTTGCGTTCTTTACAACTCATTCAAAATTTCGTTTCTCAGCCTTATAAACCACTGAGGGAATAATGACTTTTGAAAATGAAAACATTAATAAATGTCATATTGAAGATCAATTTTGGATGATGAAATCAGCTTCCAATGTCTTACAAAAATATGGGGATTTTTTTTTTGCAGTAGAACCACACATCTATGAAAAACCACGTAATACGCAACAGTTTTTAAAGGAGGGGGAGACCGCTAATCTGACCTGTAATGCCACTGGATACCCAGAACCAACAATCACGTGGTATCGAACGACTATCTCAGAGAAAGAAGGTAAATTCTCTCTCTCTCTCTCTCTCTCTCTCTCTCTCTCTGTTTTCAAAACTTGTATGTAGAACAAAGTTCAGTGGGACAAGGAAAATAACTCTATTAAACATTTTATCAATAAAAGTCAAAAACGTTTTCCCTCTGAAAATGTAAAAGTACGATGAAAAATTGCACGTAGAATATTTATTGTGGAATCAATAAGGCATGCTTTCGGAAGTTAAATTAATTTTTCTCTTGTTTTCTTATCTCCTGCACTGTATTTATGATGAATAAATGTTTCTTTTACCCTGTTTTTATCGTCTGTTTGATAGATAGAGCATGAAAGTTTTTAATACATGCAAAATGTTTTTTAAAAAATGAATAATAAAAAAATAATATATTCAAAATCATATATTGCTCATTTTAAATTTATTCATGAATTATCTCTGCGATTTGCTAAGCTGAAGGTACTTATTTTCCCCTACACAAACCCGCTAAGGTCACCTTTTTTTAGGCTTTCAAAAGTAATGAGTTCCAAAATTTTTTCAATATATTGCACAAATAAAATGTTTGGATGTATTCTAAATTTATAACTTTTTTTCCAGCGATAAGTCAACAAGGCTCCTTCTTAATGATACACAACATAACTCGTTACTGCAGTGGAGCGTATGAATGCGAAGCTTTTAACGGAATAGGACCAGCAGTCTCTAAAGTGTTCTCCATCAATGTACACTGTATGTACATTTTATATTTAAGAAAATAAATACTATTTATTGTATTTTGCCTCTTTTTTGAGCGGGGGAAGGGGGGGGGGGCTAGAGTTAAGAGTTCACAGATGGTATCGTCAATGGACTAATTTTTATGGATCACTGTGTCCATGTCTTTTCTAGAAAATACGGCTTGTTATGACAAGTCAGTCGTTTATTTACATTTACAAATACTCTGATATTTTCTCAAAAATACCAAGGAGTAATGAAGTGCATGATTAAGCAAAAGAAAGTGGTCTTGATAGATTGTGCTGAAAGCAACATGTATTACTTTATGTATCAAAATAACCATTTTTTCCAGTTCAACCAGAAGTGCAAGTATTGAATAAAAAACAAAAGCAAGATTTGGGAAAGGAAACTATTTTGCAGTGTGAAATATCAGCATCACCACAGGCAATAGTAAACTGGAGAAAAGGAGGAAACGTTTTTACTGCCAACAGCTTTCACAGAATAACGTCAGAAATCTATGAAAAAGATTATTACACCACTGTTCTTCGTCTCCGAATTCAGAATCTAACTTGGAATGATTTTGGAGAGTACATTTGCGAAGCAAGTAATATTCTCGGAAGAGATCTAGAAAGGATGCAACTTTTTCGTAAGTATAAGACTAATAAAAACAAGAGTTAACTTTTTTCTTTCTTTTTTTCCTGTAGAATACTAGTATAATATATTCTTTAACTATTCTACCGAAGCTGTTCAGTGACTATAAGATCTTATCATGTTTGCCTGTTGTAACTGAAGCATCAGAACTTGTCCACGAAAAGATATTAATGGGAGGTGGGAGGCACATAAAACAACTTTCTTTACAGATATTTTATTGTCCACAAAGAAGGATATGATTTAAAAAGCAGGAAAGATATATTTATATTTGTGAACATGCAATTCGAGAGAAACCTGTGAAACACCATGGTAAAAAGGCATTTAGAAAAATGTGGTTTTCTCCAACTCCGTATCTGGTCCTCATACAATTAATAGTCGACTATCAACACAGGATATAGTTAATAGAAATAAAAGTATAAGTCTACACGTGAATAATATAACACCCGTATAGTTATGGGCGAAATTTACAATTTTACCTTTCATTTTTTCACTGTAAGTAGGCTGTTTGCTTAATTTATTCCGTTGACTTTCATATGAATTAAATTATAGAAGAACAAGGTTCCAATGTAGACTAAATTACAATTTTATGACAAAACCTTTTTTTTGTGAAATATTTCAACAGTTGTTCCAAGGCCATATACACATCATTCAAATAACAGAAACTTATCTCCATTTTCATTCAATTAAATATGGGTAGGTGATGGTGTGTAAACATTAATGTTGTGCATTTATTATGACTTTTTCGCAGCAATAAATGGTATTAAAGCTTCACCACAGTCAGCGAAAGATGACAGGAGTGATTCAAAGACGATCATATTCGACTTCAGCTCAAGTTCAACTAGTCATCAGAAGTTACCGCTTTCTCCCAAAGACCAGATCCTTGTTAAAAACCCAAATTCAAAAGCCTATGGAATAGTGCGTGGTCAGTGTTTTAATTCAAACACCTTTCATACGCGCACTTTCTAAAGAAAGTTCAAGTATATATTGTTGTTATCCTGGTCCGTCCATCTGCCACACTATCTTCTTCAAACTACCCATACAACTTTAAGCAGTAGCCAACTCATCTTTTGGAATATTATTTGTGGTGCCTTGAACATTTGCAGAAGGATTTAGAGTTTTATTTTCACCCTGGGGGCCGAATGGGGTGGGAAAAAAAACTTTTTTTTTTCCTACAAAAACCTGGTTCCCTAAACTCCTCTTACGTTTTTCGCAGTAGCCCTTTGATATTTTAGAATATGATTGAGAGTGTCCTGTATATGTGCAATAAGGCTTGAAATTTCGATTTTCATCCAGGGGCGATTGGGGTCAGAAAAAGACGTTTTCACTTCTTTTACATTTCTGCCAAAGCCAACTCAACTTTTGAAATATGATTGGTGGTATTATGTAGATGTGCAATTAGCTTTCGGAAGTTTCGGGAGTTCCTTGAACTCGTCTTTTATTTTTCATAGTAGCCCAGTCGTATTTTGGACTAAGTCTGGGAGTGTCCTGTAGATGTGCATTTAGGTTTCGGAATTTCGATTTTCACCCTGGGGGTGATTGGTGGTTCGAAATCTGATTTTTGTAAATTATAAAATTATTGTGGCTTCTTCCCTTGTTAACCTAATATGAAGGTGAGTATATTATGAGGTAAACACCCACGTGCGGGAATTACTTTCTTATGACAGCATCTATTTTAATTATTGAGATTACTGTGAATCACTTTTTTCGCTATAACTTTATTTTTACGTAATAACGCGAGACAGTCGGCTCGCAAAAATTTCTTTCTCGCGTATAAAAGCTATATGCTATAAAAGATTATTTACAGCAATAACTAAAAATCTTGAAAATGTTGTTTCGTTTCTAAATACCAAACAACAATTTTGCTAAAATAAAGTGAAAAATTATTGATCTACAGTGTTACATGTATATCTACAATGTATTTGTTATGAATGTATATCTTTGCAGTTATGTGTTATAAAATATATAAATATACATCTTTATTTCAGGTACCTCAAGTAGTTCAGCAGAAGCAGATGCGATGTTCCATATTTTTGAATGTTCATTTGTAATTGTCCTTGTTCTTATAAGTCAGTTGTTTTATGTTTAGCTATAAGCTATTTTTAAAGAAAACGGACGGACGTTGACATTTCATATTTTATATGTCTTTAATAATTTTTGACAATTTATCAGTTGTGATAAATTTGAGAGTTAGTGTATATAATGTAAATACGAATTTCATTAAACTTGTTTTAAATTTTATGTATCTATTGTAGTGTTGTGACTGATGTTTCGAAAAAATTATCATTTCTTCAGCAAAGTGAGAGGATGACTTAAATGCGAAACGAGATATTGTAGTATGTTTTGCAGTGACAACATAACTATGAGATTAAGCCCACAAATGATAAATAATAGCAATGGAGGAGTTATAAGCAACCACCATTATAAACTTGAATCAAATCAAAAACTTTAATAGGTGAATATTAAATCATTAGGTAATGGAAAAAGATTAGACGATGAAAAACAGTTTGCGTCATTTCAGTTTGCAATTTTTAAGTAAAGAAAATAAAATTACATTACACGCTTACACAGATTATCTATTTTTTCTGCAATGTTGCAACCATTGTATCCCGTTTAACACAACAAAAACACAGCGTTTTAGTGTTGAATTAAACATGTTTTATACATCATCCATGTATGATATAACAGACTGCAGATCATAACCATTACAGCACAGCCACATACTTGTAATCGAATACATCTAATAAGTTAGTACATTTGTAATGTACTTACATCTAAGTCTAATAGTTGTACCACATCAAAGGCGGATCCAGCCCCCCCCCCCCCCCCCCCCCGTGTGTATATATATTTTTTTTATTTTGTGAAATTTTGTTTATATTATCCTAAAATCAAGTGAAAAAAACACCTCTTATTTGTTAGAATTTGTCAGTTTCCGGGGGCTTCGCCCCCAGACCCCTACCAGAGCTTTGCTCTGGACCCGCTGCGGGCTTCAATGCAGCCCCCAGTCTCCCTGCCTTCTACTGCCCCCTCCCCCGTTAAGAAATTCCTGGATACGCCGCTGCACATACGCTGTACCTTTGAGAGTGATTTTTTCTATAGTTTTTGAATTGAAACAGGAATACTCGAAGACAAATTAAAACACAGTCCAGACTTCTGGGATACCAGCATTTACAGTAAGAGTTGTAGCTCTTAGATTAAATCTTGACAACTCCAACAACAAAAGAATATATGTACAACCTTCCTACTTCCAGAGCCCCGACAGTCCAGTTCCATATTTGTAGGCTTGAAAGGAACCTCCTTTATTCCAGAGTTGCTCAATATTTATGACCAAGCTGGTGGAACACAAAAGAATCTTCGCTGTATGCATAACTAGTATCACTAATGGAGGATAATTAAATATGAAATCAGTTTTGTTAATTGCATACTTTTGCACAACATCATTTTATAATAATCTATTTCAGTAAAGCCTTTAAATTCATTTGATGTCAGAAAATCTTTTAAAAAGTATTAAGCTAAGAACGCTTCAACACACTGCATTACGTTGGCGAAGTTTTAATGACGGATAGGCCCAATTTGAAGCAAGCTAAAATGATAATGGCAGGTTTTCCCTTTGAAATTGCTGTAAAATACTTCCAGACACAGCTATACTATATATTAAGTAATCCTGTTTCACTTATTGCTTGTAGAACAGTACATGATATTTAAACATTAAAATGCTCTCTTTCTTTGTTAATGCGGGGATAACGGTCATGCCATTGCAGAAAAAAATCATATGTATTTATTGCAACCTCGCATTAACAAACAATGAAAGATGTTTTATTGTTTATATCTGTTTTGATTGTTCGTATAAATTCGGTAAAGGTAAATGTTTTCTGTTGTTGTTAGCGGGAGTTAATGTCGTAGCTGTTGCAGAAAAAAAATACATATGCATTAAATCTTGTTTTTATGCGATTGCTGCAACGTTAATTCCTATGCTAATAAACAAAGAAAGACATTTATTGTTTATATTGATGCAGGTATATATAATCATTTAAAGTAGCATCAAGCATGTTTAATATTGTAATATTGATATGTACGTCATTGTGTGTTTCATTGATGGAAGAGCCACTGCTCAAGAAATCTATACAGGTGGTCAGTGTTTAGCGGCGTTAAAGTATTGATAAATGATGGTGGTCTTCATAAGAAATAAATGAGATAATATTCAGTGGATGTAAATATTATTATATTATTGTTCCATACGTACATTGATGGTAGAGCCCATTTCGTAAGAAATCTTTCAAACAGAAGGCTTCGAAAATCGCTTCCAACTAGTTAATTGTTGATTGATTGATAACGGCAATAAGTTTTCACAAGAGATAAAGGAGAAAAAATATCAGTGGATGTAAATATTTACTTCTGAATGTATTATTCGAGAACTGCATTTGTTTTCATTGCAAAATAAATTATTTCAAGATACACTTACTGAATATAGACAGCGGAAAGGAAAAAACATCATTTGAATAGAATCAACAGTAAATTTTGAATAACAATAAAAAAAAGTTATTTATTATCCTAAACACATAACTAACTTTTTGTTATATAAACGTACATAAAATAATCCTGAAGTATCTGAATTAGTAAGCAAACGAGAAAAGTAAAGAAAAAATATATAAATACCAAACCAACCATTATAAGGTAATCAACAGACTTGTCAAGCGGACAAACTAATGAAAGCCAAGTGACGTTCCAGTAACCAGACAGTTTGGTTCGTTTACACTCTGGCCACACCCAACCGGTGCAGTTCACCCCAAAATATATTTATCTGATTTAAATACATGGAATACGGAATCCACTGTTTTTCTGTATTTATTTACATCATGCAAGAAAATGATCACGTTATCCTTTGTTATACTCCAGTAATTTTTCTCAACTTACATTCTTCGATGATATATAACAATCTCTAGTTGAGTATACACGCATACTATGTGTTTTTACAAAGCAGTGACTTGTGGGCTTTTAGGGATATATCATAAGCAGTGTACGGGTCTCACCGGTCAGTGTACATTGTCGGGTTCCACATTGAGGGTACTACAATGTACAAATGGTTAAGCTGCGAACTATCATGTGTATCTTACCTCGTCTATCCCTCGCAGTAACCTGTCAAATTATATTATTATTAAACAAAGATAATTAGATTTTTTTCTGATTATGTTGACAATACAGAATGAACTTGTGTGACATGGTCTGAAAAATTCTGAAATCTCAGGCACGTTTCAAGGATTTCTTATTTATTTATTCTTTTTTGTTAAATTTGAATAAAATACATATAGTGTTCGGATCAAATATAAACATATTTTTCCGCCTTTTTTAGTCTTCTTTATTTGAATAGAGCTTACATGAAAAAGAAAAATGCGTCAAACAATTTTGATACGACTTACAGATTAACCGATTGGCAATTCTGTATTCGATTGCCATCCCTAAAAAATTCCTAACCCGTGTAATCGAGTTAAGTAAATTTTTCTGTAATGATTGCAACCTTAAATCTCGAGAGCAAGAAACCAATAAAGGACATTTTATTGCTATATATTTATATCTCTTTGAATTTGATTATTCGTATAAAGTGAGTGAAACTAAGAAAAATATAGTATTCTTGGTCCGTACGTACATTGATGATAAGATGAAGAAAATACCAGTGGATGTGCATATTTAACTCTGAATGTAATGTTCGCGAACTGCAAATGAATTTAATACATAACTGTATTTTTGAAGACCGGAATATTAAAGGACAGTTTCATTCTTAACTCACTCTTAATTTCTTTGTCTTTTTTTTCAACACCATCTTGGTCCAAAGAAAATAAAAATCACACCACACAATAATGAATATGTGCACTTTTTAAAATTTATTACTAGTATTTTTACTAGAAAAATATGGACACCTAATTTTTTTTCAATAAAGACTTGGGTCGGATAAATAAAAAGGTGCATGTCACTTCTACTGTAATTGCAAAAATCGTTTCATTTGAAGTTCATTATTTGAAAAAAATTGTTTTTTTTGTTCCCTACACATACATTATGTTATAAAATATTAATTTTCCGACTTTCTCCGTATCCAAATTGAAATCATCTTAATCATTGTCAATTTTGAATACAATCATAACAAAGTAAAAAAAAAAAATCAGAAAATAAAATAATTCAGAGCCTCGTGCACACGAAATAAGAAGCCGTGCGAACGAAATGATAAATTTTGCGAATAATATAACATTTCATGCAAACGACATTATGTTTTCAGTGGCGGATCCAGGAATCTTGAAAAGGGGGGGGGGCGACCAGTTTGGGATCGGGGTAGGGGCCCACGACCACACTAAAATTAAAGATTTAGTAAATCTTATGATGTATATTTTGGACACAAAAGGAGGCCATCCCCCTGGCGCCCCTCTACATTTAAATCCGCCAGTGGTTTTCCTTTATCAGAATGAAAAAAAGTTCCATGTCCTAAATATCCCACTGTATATTATTGAAGCTAAGGTTAATATGCTTTCCGTGTAGTTACTGTGAACTTTAGAAATACATTAGTTATAAATATAGTGCTGCTTAAGTTGTTTGCCGTTTCAATGATTGCAGCTGTACACGTCATTCTTGAATATTTCTCTCTTTTATATTGGATGAATCCACTGGAACCCAAGGTCAAAAACTGAGTGACAGAAGGATAACATGTACTGCTCCTTTAGATAACTCACCACCCTACACACACACACACACACACAGAGAGAGAGAGAGAGAGAGAGAGAGAGAGAGAGTTGAATGTGAAACGAAATAAAGTAGCATCGTTGCATTGAACGTTGAGTTACAGAATGTGTCACTTTCATTTTGATTTTTCTACATCTAAATTATTATGATTTACAAAACATTATATGCAAATTATATTAAAGATCTTTTTTTGTATATAAAATATCATGATTAGCAAACCCATCTCTATTTCAAGCCAATAAATGGTAATTTCCTTACATATTTTGGAGTAAGACAGGTGTTCAGTTATGAACAACGAAAAAGGTAAAAGTAACTTGACACAATCAACAGTATTTTTTATGAACAATTAGGAATTATTATTTATAGACTGAAATGCAAAACAAAATACTTTCTTTGCAATATAAATATTGATAAAATAAATCTAAATTACAATACAAACGAGAAAAGTAAACCAAACAGGTTTCAAAACGTCAGAAAAACCGACAAGCGGAGCCACAAATAGATAGAACCAGACA